TTAATATATAAATAATAAAAAATTTTAAAAAGTTTTGCTTATTCTTGCCTAGAGGCTGCCAAACTCCAAGTAGTCACACAAATGGAACCAATGACAAATGTGCTAGCCTTCTTTTACCGGGATCCACCAGATCGACCTTGTAAACAGCTCATAACTGCTAAACTACACAATATGACTTCTGTGTTGGATTCTGAAGTCCCCTGGACCTTCTCCTTCTCCTCTTTGTGGGAGGCTATTACTAGTTCCTCCCAGTGGAAACCCTTGTTGGCTATACTCATAGCAAACCTGACCTTATAATTTGGCCCATGTATTAAGTGTTTCTTTGGCTTTGTCTCCTCCAGACTCAAAACTATAAGCCTACCCAAGATGACAATGTCTGATGCCTAGACAGACCCTCTGAAGAGTAACTCTGACTGCTGATCACAACTACAACCCTCTTCAGCTGGAAGTAGCCGGACTGGTCTTCGGCCTTTGCCCCCACACAGCAGTTAGGGGTCCTTCTTCAGAGGGGGGAATATTGCAGATGATAGGTAATTTACATAGATATCCTATAGGCAGTTAGACAGGACCAGCCCATGAGGAGCCAACATGGAGGACAGTGAAGACACATTCACTTAAGGCCAGCATTGTATTTTTTTTTCTTCTTTTTTTTTTGTGTGTACCGGGGATTGAACTCAGGACCTTGCGCTTGCAAGGCAGGCGGCAGAACCACTGAGCTAAATCCCCAGCCCTTTTTCTTCTTCTTTTATTTTTGGTGCCAGGGAATGAAGTCAGGACCTTGTGCTTAGCAGCCAGGCAGTGGCACCCCTGAACTAAATCACAGGCCCTGCCAGCATTGTAAAAGGAGAGGAACTACCACACCCACTAGGATGAACAGCAGTGACTGATATACTAAACAGGTCTCAATCACCTGATGGGGGGCCAAGGTCTTAACCCAGCCTCTCCAGGAAATATCCCTGACCCACCCTTACTGAAAATCCTAGTATGCTTGCTACATGACTTGCTCCCCCATTTGAGCCCCATTGAATCAATATTACCTGGGTGACTGTACTTGTAATCTTATTGGTTGATCATGGTTTTGTCCCACCTCATGGCTACCTTGTAAATTTCCATTGGGTCTTATAGTTTTATCCCACTTTGTACCCACCTAACCACATGGCTTTGCTGTATAAAACATCTTTGAGGGCCTGGGATTGAGCTCAGTGGTTTCGCCACCTGCTGCGCAAGCACAAGGACCTGAGTTCAATCCCTGGTACCAAAAAAAAAA